CCCTTGGTGAAATCATCAGTTTTCCGGCTATGGCAATCGGAGTGGAGTCTGGAATGCGAAAACAAACTTCACAGGATTAAACCAGCTCTTGGTATATGGGAGAGTGCATCCCACAAAACCCGCCGCCTTGAAGTTCTTTTGTGTCGTCTTAGAATTGGACATTCCTTCCTTACCCACAAACATCTGCTCAGGGGGGAAGCCCCACCCCTGTGTGATGAATGTGGGGAGCGTTTGACAATTTTACACATTTTGTGGCTGTGCCCAGGGCCTGAGCAAGAACGACGTACACATTTCCCCGAGTTTTTTTCCCACCAGATTCCTTTTCACCCAGCGCTGCTAATTGGCGAGACTCCTATAGTACCATTTGATCGTATCATAAATTACTTAAGAAAAACCGGCTTCCTACTAGAGTTGTAATTTTAACTCTATGAATTTTAACCTTGTCATATGAACCTCTTTTCGATAATTCATATAAAAAAGACCTGAGTATGTCCCAACTAAACAAGCTTGGCGCAGTATGGCCATAGTAGCTTTGCGCCATAAAGCCCGTAATCAATCAATCAATTCCAGCTTATTTTTATTTTGACATTTGAGTTTTCTTCAGTACTTTTCTCAACATCTGTGCTTGCTGAGCCGTACTCAAGTCCATACATCTTGTCTTTCGCTATTACATTAATATATAAAACTGTTGATGCCGAGTGAGAATTCAAGGTACCGAATCTGTCGTGCGAGCTAAATAAGAACCAATAAAAAGCTCTACAAAGGAAATTTTGTTAAAGGATGCTGTATGAGCATTAGAATAGCACATGCCATGCTAAAAAAAAAATACAAATTCTTGTTAGGTATGCGAGGATGACAGTGCTGTGCTGTTTCTGATGTGTCACAAAAAAAAAAAAAAGAAATCAGTGCCATACAGTGTTCCTTATAGAAGTACAAACTGTTGAATTCGAAGCCCAGAAGTTTTATTCAAGAATGTTCCTCAATACAAATGTATTTAGAGATCTGAGCCACTGACTCATACATGACTATGTGGCAAACATTCATTTTCATGTGGATTATAGTTCACAAGGTCTAGTCTGCATTGATTTATTGCATTCATGCTGAAACTGGGAGGGGTTCTCTGGGTATGAATAAAGAGATAAACATTTCTTGAAATCAAAACATTTGAGAACGGACAAAAGGAAGGATCTGAGAACGGTATCTTAGATTCTCTTCTTTTTCTTACAGTATCTTTAATGTTCACTTTATTTCACCTGATGCATTTAGTTTTTAGCGCAGCTCTTAGCACCCGTTTCCGCGTTTTGCGGCGTCGCTGTCGGCGTAACCGCCCAACTAAACTTGGCAGGAAATTGAATTAATGTTGTGGTCATGTGACGTTAATATTTCCGCTAAGTCTAGCTGAGAAACTGAATTTTTTTATGGATGACGTGACACGGTCATGCGACGTCATTTTCCCCGCTACTTTTAGCGGAAAAACTGCATTTGTGTTGAGGTCATGTGACATCAATTTCTGCGCTAAATTTAGGGGGAAACTTAACCAGCTAAATTTAGTGGGGAAATTTTCCCGCTAAATTCAGGGAAATTTCCCGCTAAATGGGAGGGAGCAGAAGAAAAGGAGGGGAGGGGGAGGAGGGGCATACCCTCCCATCCTCCTCTTCCAAGATCTGTGCTCTAATTTCACGTTACAGAGAATTGTAAACGTCTCATATTTCATCTCATGTTTATTCAACTTTTATATTGCAGGTGCGCTCGCAGCACAAATCTGGGTTGTGCTGATCCTCTACGCACAAGTTAGGAACTCCTGAGTGGCAAGAGTGGGAGTTTGGTCTGACAACTCAAGGGACACCATTGTTCAGTATTGAATTTTTAATAATCTTCTTTTGAGCAAAGTTAATTAAGCTTTGCTGCATGCAGTTCTTGTAAAAATAAATACCTGCAACCAAATTTACCAGGTCACGACATTTCGTCTGCTCTTAGTGCTCCTGGTGAGCCTCGGATAAGAGCTTACTGGTGTGCAAACATCATGCTTGTTTGAAACCACTCACTGATGTAGAGACTCGCTGACATCCAGCATTCCAATGAAATGCTGGATGTCCACAAGTCTTTCTTGAACAATGCAAGCGGGGAAGGAACCATACAATCGTATCGTATTGGGGGACATTCTACAGAGTGTTTTTTTCTATGTTTTACAGATTTTTTTAAAAAAGCCGTAAAAGCTACATTTACACGGTCTGTGCACGTGAGTTATATGGCCAGGGCGGCATAGTATAAAAGGCTAATTTGTAATGATCCGTCGGCTTATTACAGAGATGTGCCAGACTTCTTTCAGAAAACTAGATGGAGGTTCATTCTAGCGTAGTTTTATCCTGCGAATCTGAATATCCCGTTCGTTTTCCTCAAAGATATAACTAAACGTGTGAAAACACACAAAAACATCCTACCAACAGTGACATCGTAAGAAGACCTTTCGGCCGCCAAGCGTGTGTCGCTTAAGGGCCGCTCGTCCTATCGCAAGTTTTCTAGGTATATTCTCCGGCATTGGCACCAGTCGTGACACATTTTTCTGCCCTTTTAAAAAATAGCATGTGCGTGCATAGCTTTGATTGGCGCTGAAGATGCGTGAACAAAGATTTTGAAAGCTGCTCTTGTGACGTCGCTCTCTAGGGAAGTGCTTTCACAGCGCTTTAAAAATGACTATGCAGCCTCGATTAATTAAATTAGCAAATAATTTTGATATTTGAGATTCTGGAGGTCGAATGAAGAAGATTTAAAAGTGTTTACTCAAATAGAAAACTGATTCAGCCTCTCTCTAAGTATAGTATGTTCGTGAAATTTTTAATCAGTTAAAATAGACCCATGGTTCCAATTAGAAACTTGCTAAGCATCATCAAAACACACGAAATCAATTTTCTTTGTAAAGATATAAGACAAGAGTAGCATTTTATGGCGTTCTAAAAAAAATGGTCAATTTGAACGCGTTTCCAGACTTCCGTTTCTTACCAGAGCGCATCTTTGCACCTGCGGTCCAGCTGCCCGGTGGCCGCAGTGCGAAGCCGCCCCCTCGCCTCCCTCGTAGGATGAAGGGAAGCAAGGCGCACGTGTGTTGCGTGTCTAAGCCCCTGGGGAACAGGACCGTGGGCGCAGAGATGAGCTCTGATAAGAAACTGAAACCTAGAAACTCATCCAAATAAAGCTTTTTACAGAACGCATAAAACGCTACCCCTGCATTATATCCTTCTAAAAAAACTTGATTTTGTGGTTTTCAATGACTCAGCAAGTTTTTAATTGAAACCATATTTTCATTTTCACTAATTAAAAAGTTGATTAACAAATTGTATTTAATTATCTGACTGATCGTTACGACTAGGTCCCTATACTACGTACGCCTGGCCGTATAACTCGCCTGCACAAACCGCATTAATTTAGCTTTCACAACCTTTCTAAACATATATGTAAAGCTTAAAACTAAATCGCCCTGTACAACAGTGAAAAGGCGAAACCAACATGCTGGAGCCATATGGCTCCACCATGCTGGTATCGCCTTTTTGCTGGTATAGGATGTCCCATATTACGTTATGCATGTATTGTTCCGTCCGCCTACATGGTTCCGCCGTAATCCACTACGCTGGTATAGGATGTCCCATAATATGACACGCTTGTATGGTTCCGCCCACCTGTATCGTTCCGCCTTATTCCACTATACTGGAGCCGCCTTTTTCGCTTGTATAGGATGTCCCATATTACGGTTACGCTTGTATGAGCCTTTTCCGTCATCTTTCCATCATCGATATTTTCCAACAGGGAGGGGATTCTTTTCGGCTTCTGGTTGGTCAAGAGAGCATGCCAAGCCCTCTTTCCAAGTCTGCCGCACGCCCTGGCTCTGCCCGCGCCTCCCATTGACCAAACTCTCTACATATACGGCTCTGGTAATTTAGCAATAGGTCTATTCAGTAGATTAGATCAGCAGGCTGCCAGGTAGATAATAAATGTATCTCAAAGATACGCCGCTATGCGACCCGAGTCGGCTATGTCAACAATCGCACCGCCCTTTCTTAGTCGTTGTTCCAAGCGCTTGCGTGCCTAGTTTCCTTTCCTTCCACTCGCCCGGGGTGGTGCCCCGTCGCGCGTGTTTTAGGCCCCATAACGTGTCTACTTTCCGCCGGATGCAGTCCCTTCGCGCGTGTCTAGTTTCCTCCGGCTCCTCGGGGCGGCGAAAGCCGTCCACCCGAAATAATGACTACCGATCAAGACAGCAATAAATGTGTGTAGGTACCTTTCGTCACCATGACCACCGGTCAAGACAATAAATGTGTTCGCACCTTTGTTCAAAATTCTGTCACGTCTGTGTCGTGTCCTAAACAGCTTCGCTGGTCATCCACCTTCGCAAAGTAGACTGGCTCATGATTTTATTTTAGTATTTATTACATTACTCAACTATTTTAGCGTAGTATTTAGTAAGGGCTCAACTCTGAAGAATATTTCAGTAATGTAGTAGATTGTATTCACTGCATTATTGAGATAATCTTCAGAGTAAAGTATTTAGTACGTTATCAGTTACTGTATTACCTGGCACTTTGTTACCTGACTTAAATACCATTTTGAGTATATTGTACAAGTCTGGGCGACACGATATTTCGTCCCACGTTAAGTGCGAGCGAAAGGGAAGCTACAAGAGCGACTGCAACGCTTTCAGCAAGCCTACTATGTACGAGTGCTTATTAAGTGCAGGCACGGTTCAGTGCAACATTCTCGCGCTTGTAGTGTCGCCTTTGCTCACACTTAGATGAAACAATGTATAGTTTCACCCACAGCTAATGCGTTATATCTAACATTGAATGCAACGCACTTGAATAGTAGTCGACACTTGTGATAGGGTTTCCGTTTACTGAAGCACTGGGCGCCTAAGATGACGTCATTTTGTATGATCAATCAAAATTTTATTTCTTTTTGTTATGCATGTTTTCGTAACGATTATTATTATTCTCTTCTTCTTCTTCATGTCATTCGTTTGCTTCTTCTTCCTCTTCTTCACTGTCTTCTCCAGCTGAGAATAAAGCGTATTAAAATTGGTCTTCATGATCTTACTTTCAAATAAACACGGGCATTTTATTAGCGAACAAGCATAAATATGATAGCAAGAAGCGATAGTATGCCCGCGAGCTGGTTATGAGACATCATAACGTCCCTTTATTTTATTGCTCCTTGTCTCTGGATTTAGATTATAACAAATATGATATCATTTTTCTCATTTAAAAGTAGAAAATTAGATTAATAAAAATGAACAAAACAATTAGTCGGAGGGATCTATATCATAAACTGCAAATATGCGATGCTAATTCGAAACCAGGAGATATATTGTCAGCAAACTTGATTGGCGTCGAATCAAAAACGGTTTGGCGCCCGTTTCTACATGCGACATGCCAGTCTTGATATAAGATGCTGGTTTCTAATGAAAACAAACGATATTTACAACTTACCAAGCGTAATATTACGACACTCCGAGGGATCGCCAGGATTACAAGATCCATTTTTACACGACCCCACCAGGACTGTAACAGTTGAATTGTCCAAGTAATTCCATGACGCCTAAAGAAATTTAAAAAGTTATATATTCGTCAGCTTTTACAGACACATTTCTAGAATTATTTACTTTCTAAAAAACTGAAAACGTATAGTTAAAGGGCAATGTCCATTATTCGCTTGTGGGATAGGAAAGCTTACGTCCATTTATGTCCTACCCGCAGGTAATGTTTACGAATCACCGGAAATACTAAATTACTTCACCCTTTTGCAGTAATATTCGGAGCGCAGTAAAATATCCTGGAATTATTTATCTTCATCATGCGGTATATTAGTGTAAAGAGACACTACATCCATTGTCACCAGCAACGTTCTATTAGCCCTAAAATATATTTGGATGTCACTAATTAAATTGAGAAAATGACAGGAATCTTTTACGTAGGCTGCGTAGACAAAGTGTGGGCGATGGCTTCACACGAAATAGAAATCCCTTATCCGGTCGTTTTCGACGCGCCCCACAAAATAAACGCCGACGTTCGTTGGATTCAAACTGACTCTCACAGGCTTTTCTCCAACCCTTTTTCAATCTTCGCGTTTGTTTTGATAAATTAATTCGATTTGAATCCCATAAACTATTTCTGCGAAATTGCCGCGCACAAAAAAAGGTTCCAAGGGGTTTTTATAACACATATACAGCTTCAACCATAGAGTTGTCACAGGTAAATGTACAAACATGGGCTTGCGCCGTTTTTAATTTTATAATGTCTTTACTGGGCATTACCATACAGCAGTCAATCGAAAACATTCGTGCTTTAGAGTCCCGGATCGATAATATTTTAAAAACATCCTCTGGTTTGCCGTTAATAATTTTAAAAGAATTGCAGCATTACATGCATAAAAACGAGCGAGAAGTAAATAATACTGTACATCATCAGGCATTTAGAGATAATGTGCTCGTGGATTTTTTCTCGCCTCTAATAGAAGAATTGAAAATCTTTTTTTTCACGGCTAATTAATAGAACACAGCATGCAAACACAAGTTGCTCAGAACATTCTACAGATATGGGTAAAGAAAAGTCAGAAACATTTAATTATTCTTCCTATGCACTTTCTAAACACCAAAAGTTAGTTCTTAAGAAGTGATTAAAATTTTTCCCAACTCCTCGCAACAATAGTGATGATTTCGAATTGCACAAAGGATTAAATGAATTGGCACGGCAATTGCTCTGTAAGGTTTTTTTCAAAGGAACTCCTTATCAAGAGCCTTTATATAAACACAAATCCTATTGGATTCCACTGTTAAATAAACAAAATGTTAATGTCATAAAATACATAGAAGCGGTCCAGAAATATGTTTTATCGGCTTATAAAAAACAGAGACCACTTAAAAATAATTTAACTTAATACAGATCAACAATGTTTAAAAACCTCACTGATAGCAGAGATATCATAATAGCCCAGGATGACAAAGGTGGAGGTATATGTATAGTTAACACAGCCGACCATATATCGGAAACTATTAAAAAACTGAACGATACTAAGTTCTACAAAAAAAAAAGACACCACATTATGATCCAACTCTTAACTTTCGAGACAATAAGAAATTAATTAAACAACCTAGTAGATAATAATAAAAGAGAGAAAAATATTTCAAGGTATCTCATTCAGCAAAATCCGACACCAGGACAGTACTATATGTTAATGAAAGTACACAAGCAAAATCATCCAGGTAGACCAATCATTTCTGGAATAGGTACAAATACAGAAAATATTTTCGAGTTTATTGGCGAATAAATTGAAAGTACTGTAGCCGGTGCCCTGTCTTACGTAAAAGATTCCTCTCATTTTTTTTCAATTTATTTAATGACATCCAAATAGAATTTAGGGCTAATAGAACGTTGCTGGCGACAATGGATGTAGTGTCTCTTTACACTAATATACCGTATGATGAAGGTATCCAAGCAGTTCTAAATATTGTTAACGTAAACGACCTCACTGTTAGTAAAACCTTCTTAAATATTTTATACACGTAGCTTTAGAACTTAATAACTTCACATTTATGAATGAACACTATTTACAGATACATGACGCAGCAATACCGGGGGATTCAAGGAGACGGCAGGCTCTATAAATCGACCGGAAAATTCGGTTTTCTAACCTATCGCGCTACGAGTTTGTGCAGCGTTGCCCCCAGATGGTGCTTTTTTTTTCTTTTTTTTTTGTAAAATTTGCAAAGAGCGAACTTGCCTGAGGAAAAAGTAAAGAAAGAAAAAGGCTTAACTCCTATGTAAATACAGCGACGCTATCGGTCTTCAAACAACACGGCGCCGTTTCGCACGGGAGACAAGAGTTGGCGCAACGAACGCCACCAACCAACGAGCATACGGCGCCGAGAGCCAGCGTCTTTAGCAGACAATCTTTTCGACTCAAAAGCGGAGCGCGTTCCGCGGGCGGCGACAGTCGCAGAAACAAAAACAGGCGCGTAAAAACAGGGAACTGCAGTTCCTTGTCTGCTAAAAAGGCCGGCTCTCGGCGTCGTCTGCTCGTTCGTTGGTGGCAGTTGGCGTCGCGACCGCTTGCGCCATCTCTTGTCTCCCGTGTGAAACGGCGCCGTGTTGTTTGCAAACCGGTGGCGTCGCTGCAGTTTCATAGGAGCTAAGCCTTTGTTCTTTCTTTACTTTTTCCTCAGGTAAGTTGGCTCTTTGCAAATTTTACACAAAAAAAATGCACCATCTGTGGGCAACGCTGCACAAAGTCGTAGCGTGATAGGTTAAGAAACCGAATTTTCCGGTCGATATAAAGAGCCTGCCGTCTCCTTGAATCACCCGGTAGTATCACGTTTCTCTCCCTCCTATGCACATATCTATATGATGTCTTTAGAAGAGCGGCTACTAAACTCCTTTCCGCTTAAACCACTTTTTTATAAACGTTTCCTCGATGACATATTTATAATCAGGAATAATGGGAAAGATAAACCCTTAGAATTTGTTCATTTTGCAAACAATTTTAATCCACGTATTAAATTTACGCATAAATACTCCAATACAGAAATCGAGTTTCTAGATATTAAAATAAGACTTACTAAAAATGGTTTGAAAACAGCTTTATATCGAAAACCTACAGATAGACGTCAATATCTACATCATAAAATCAGCCATCCTATACAAAACAATAAAGGTATACCATACAGCCAACTGCTTCGATTACGACGCTTATGTTCAGAAAATAAGGATTTTGATATAAAAGCTAGAGCACTAGGCGAGGATTTCATTAACCGTGGATACCAATTACCGTTAATAAATAATTCAATATCTAAAAGTCGAGCGGTCTCTCGGAACGCGTGTTTAGTGGAGCGACCGAAATGAAATAACCATGAATTACGGCTAATCTTACCTAACCAGTCAAAACTTCCAAACGTAGATAATATTCTTAGGCGACACATGAATATTTTACACATGGACACTGCTTTAAAGGATGTTATCCCTCGACCGCCTGGTATAGTTTTTAGGAGACCACGTAATTTATTGGATTTTCGTAGACAGACCAGAAACTCCGTCGGACGTAGCTTGGTCCATCTTGGTTGCATAAAGTGCACTAATAACCAGTGTAGTTCATGTGATAATATAATAATGGCTAACTCTATTCGTAGCACAGCAAAAACTTTAATTGTAAAATAAATGGTACCTTTGACTGCAATTCGGAAAATGTTATTTATTTGATTCAATGCAAAAAAGGCATAATTCAATACATAGGAGAAACTAAAACAAGCATAAGAAAACGCATGAATCTACGTAAAAGTCGTATACGCAAACATGTTGCCCGACCAGTTTCTCGTTACTTAAACTCCACAGAACATAGCGGACTTTCAGACTTAAATTTTATTATACTCCAGGGTGGCTTTCGAACCACCAGAGATCGTAAAACTAAAGAATCTGATTTATTTATAAATGTAATACTTTAGAACCGAATGGCCTTAACAGCTCGAGAGGGTCATTGCCGTCTTTTTGTATGGACATTTATTTGAGATCTTCTAATCAGTGCCCCACTGTTGCTTTTTTTTTTCTTGCTTGATCGTTAAATGTGACACGAACAAACGCTTAACATTAAGCCTCTCATTGGCCTCACATGACACCAAGTATAGTTGGATTAAGTCCAACAACATGCCCCAAAACTGGTTTTGTGATAATAATGGCTTTAATAATATTGTATTTGATTTTTTTCAATACTATTTACTGCCTGTTTTATCGGGATGTATTAAACTTTTAAGCGAGAATTTAGTTTAGTAAATACCCGCTAAACGGTAAGCATTTTTTTTAATTACTTCTTCTTTTGTGATCGTTTTTTCGGTGATTAAAAGAAAAAGAAGTGTTCTTTCTCGGACTGAAGAAGAGCCAACCAGGCTTGAAACGTTTCCATGCACAACTTTTCTGGTGACCTTCCCCTCGATTTCGACGACCATCTCCTTAAGAGCAAATACCTTTTGGAATATGTATATGTATACATGGTGTCACAAAAAAACAAATACACGTTCTTTCTACCACAGAAATAAGCTAGGCATCGCCGAACGCTCATCCTCCGCGCAAAGGTAGCGCTAGAGGTCACAACTAGATGCCAAAGTTTCAGCCCGATCTGATAACTTAATAAAAAGTTATAAGTAATTTTTTGAACATTTTAATGGGAAAATGGTGGCCGACGGAGTTTTCGAATACATGGGGCTCTATGGGCACCACAAACCGAAAACGGGCGAAAATGGGCTCTATTTTCCCATTGAAATTTTCAGAAAATCACTCATAACTTTTGAATAAGGTATCGGATCAAGCTGAAACCTTGGCATCTGGTTGTGGCCTCTAGCGCTACCTTTGGGCGGAGGATGAGTGTTCGGCGATGCCTAGTTTACTTTTGCGGCAAAAAAAACAACCTTTAAATTTGTTTTGCAGCAGGCTGCATATATATATATATACATTTCTGAAAATGTTCGATTCTTCAACCTTTTTTCTTTAACAATTTAAAAATGAAATCGTCCGCAATTACTTGTTCTGTTGCACCCGTTTGTGCAGTACGGTGCAGTGTCTCCGCGGTGCTTCGCTGAAAACTACGTCGAAATGCGAGAGCATTTTGATGTTTCCTCTATGAAGGCCAGACTCCACTGGTTAAGTTGAGACAAGCCTCGTTTCCTCACTGAGTCCTTGGTGGTAGCAGAACAAGCCCGCTTTTCTTCTCTATTCCCAGCCAAACGCTGTTATTTTGTTTCCAGCGTGTCATTTATTTATTTTTTATTTATTTATTTATTTATTTATTTATGTATTTTTCTATTTTACCCTCAGGGCGTGAGCATTACAGAGGGGGAAGTGGTTGCATGAGATATCGAAAATACACAGACACAGATACATAGGAAATACATCAATGTAGATTAGAAAAAAAATATGTTCCAAGGCTTTTTTAAAAAGGTCGAGATCTATGAACGAGACTACGGGTGCAGCCAGGGGGTTCCAGTCAAAGTATGTAGACGGCATGAAGGAATGGTGAAAGACGTTGGTGCGAGCATATGAGATGCCAACTTTGTTTTGATGGTCAAGTCTAGGTGAAACGTAAAGAGGAGGTATTATTAGCTTATTACGCAGCGTCTCATTAGCGAAATAAATTTTATGAAACAAGCTTAGGCAGGATACTTTTCTACGAGTTGATAATTCAGGGAGAGAAAGAAGACTTCAAAGTGCTTACGCTGGCTGTCCGATGGTAATTCGAAAATATAAATCTAACAGAACGATTTTGGACGGCTTCAATCAGATCAATTAGTACAGACTTACCAGGGTCCCAAACAGAAGATGCATATTCCAGCTTTGATCATACAAGGGTTTTATAAAGAATTAGCTTCAAAGACTGGGGTGCTAAAAAAATTCCGTTTAAGAAAACCTAGCATGCGATTAGCGTTGTTAATGATGTAGTTAATGTGAGTCCTTTATGATAAATCAGATGTAATATGAACTCCTAAATACTTATAGGCCGTAATTAATTCAAGGGGATGGTTATTTAGCGTATAATGGGGTTGAGAAGAAGTACAGCGGGACACTCTCATAACCTTACATTTGTTAGAATTTAGTATCATAGACCACGAGTCGCACCAGTTGGAAATAGAGTTAATATCGTTTTGTAGTAGGTTAGAATCAAAATCATGAGTAATTTCTCGATAAATAACGCAGTCATCAGCAAATAAAGAAATTTTTGAGGATACATGAGAGGGTAGATCGTTAATGTATATAAGGAATAAAAACGAACGAAGCACAGAACCTTGAGGAACACCTGATGTTACTGATACCATAGCAGAGCTTGAATTATTCACGTTGACAAAGGTGCATACGGTTCGTTAGAAATGAATGTATCCACATGAGTACCGCCGGATCAATATTTAGTTTACTAAGCTTGGACAAGAGTAAGGTATGGGGCACTTTATCAAAGGCTTTAGAGAAGTCTAAAAATATGCAATCTACTTTGGAGCAAACGTCAACGATAGAATGAAGGTCGTGCGTGAATGATACAAGTTGTGTTTCGCATGAGAATGTCTTTCGAAAGCCGTGTTGAAGGGGACAAAAAAACTTAATTGATTCTAGAAAATTGACTATGTTAGAATAAATGATATGTTCTAAAATTTTGCTTGGGACACTGGTCAATGAAATTGGGCGAAAGTTTCGAGGGTTTAATTTATCACCTCCTGTGAACTGGGACCACCTTGGCTACCCTCCAGTCACCGCAACTTACGGAGGCAGCTGAGCGAATGACAATGCCGAAACATATGTTGAGAACAAAAACAAAAACACTCTGAATTATGACATTAAGCAATGCAAAACGTCACGCTTACATTGCTTAATGTCGCAACTCAGACTGTGTCAAACACATAAAACAGCGCAAAAGAAGAGAAGGACAAGACGTAAACAGGACAATTGCACAGTATGTTTTTTTGTACTTTACTTATTTTTCGCTATTTTATATGTTTAACTAAGATGAACCAACTAGCCCAACAAAATACCCTATCAGGCTGCGTTTTTGGTCTAAATATAAGTTTCAGCATCGTGATTTGTTGAGCGGCCTCCCTGATAGCTTTCAGCGGACTAAGAGGCGCCATGCCAGAGCTTGGGAAACGCCGAGCGAAGGGCGTAGACACATCCGAGTAGGCCACGCACCCTCGCCCTTAGGCTCACTTCCAGGTGGCGCAGCCTGTACCACGAGCCACAGGCTTCTCTGTTCGCATTTCATTTTTCCCCGAGAGTACATATGCAGTCAATTTCGACATGATTTCCTTTCTATTCATTGGCTGCAAAAGCTGTGTTTGTGTTAGCAGTGTTTGGAGGCCAGGGTGAAACAAATCATTTTTTTTATTTAAAAAATCACATTTATTTGTTTTATGGTTGATTATTTGGATTTAAATAAAGGTGCTTAGAAAAATGTGATTCATTAACATTGTATGTACTTTTAAACATGACAGGTTGATAAATCACTTCGTTCGTTCACTCAAAACAGTATAGAAGAAATGATTTCTGTGCATTTAAACTTTTTAAGTACAGTTTAATAAATACATTTTTATTGCTCCTAATCTTACTAGATCCAAAGCAGCTTATTTTGTTAGCTAGTTGAAAAGCTTCATTTGCTTTCTCTTTCACGGTCTGATTTGCTTGGTATACGACATTACTTTTCTTGGTTTTGTTTATTTCGTATTTTGATTTATATGCAGAAGACATTATGCAACTAAAAACAAAATGGAACGTAAAAAATCAAACAAAAAAGCTAAACGCTCTAATTTCTTTAGAAGAGTTTTATATGTGTTCAACTTGCTAAGAGTATTTTTGTTTTATGATTCTTTGGTTTAAATACAAAACAAGTGCACATGAAAAGCTTCCAATGATAGACAAACAATAAATAAAAAGTATTTGGAGGATTATTTCTGCGGAAAAAGTTAAATTTAAATCATCATTGCAAAACCGGTGCGACTGAAATCAAGATTTAAAGAAACTTAATTTTTATTCTCCATTTTGTTGAAGGCTGACCGCGTGTCTAAGGCCGCAGTCACATTGCTTATACATCCTACAAAAGACGCTGTGTCCACTACGAACATGTATCCCAAAAGTGCCTGCAGACTCACCTCCTACATGGGCAAGGCAACCTACTCTGTCACGGAGGTTTGAAGTTGCTTTTATTGTGGTTTACGTAACATATAAATCGCATTTTATATGCCCCGCGTAAAAAAAAAAAAGATAAAAGAGAAAAATAACTACAAAGTATTCGCATTGTCTATGGCCAATTGAATGTTCTTGGTTATTGCTGGAACAGATGACTCCGTGTTGTTCCTCCGGGTCGGGTAGGCAGCAAGGCAATCCGACCACCAGGTTTACCTAACAAACCCACAGGAAACCCAAACACACCTCTGTGCTTACCCCACTATGTTTGATACTGTCCAGAGTTGACAGGGTTGATACAATCTGACAGGCATAGCGTGACACACTGCTAGAACAGATAAAGCTGCAGCGGCATCTGTCAATCTGGTCATCAGACATAGATGTCGGTTTGGTTGGGAAGGCGCCAACCAAACTCCCAGTATTTTTGCTCTGGTAGCTGTTTAACAAAAACGAAGTTACGTTTTTAATACCAAAACTTTATAACGGTTACATAAATACGTTTGTGAAAAATATTTCATTCTGCTAGGTGTAGGCATCCTTTTTATCCATGAACAAGATTGCTAAACAACGTACTCTGTAACTGGGGAATAAAATTATTTTAAGCAAACTATCAAATTGTAATTGATATATTTGATATCAATTACAATGGATATTACCGAGGATGAAAATCCTCGGTAATATTACGGTTCTACATCATCGTAGTCGGAAATTTAAATTATTGCGAAGGTTAACTCTTTGTTAAACCTAATACTAAAGACATATTGGGCCAGGAATGCAAAAAATAAGTCCCTAAGGTTCGAATTGGTGCCCCATAATACTGTATTGTTATGGTTTATAATTCTTCCGTGAATTAAAACAGATTCGGCAGTTCTGCTAAAATCAATTTTTATGACGTTTTGCGCAGGGTCAAATGTTCCCAAAATCTTGGGGATGATTTTATGGCGAGAGGCAATCACTGTAAGTACTAATTATTAAAGCTGTAAAAACTTACGAGGCATTCGTTTCCATTCACATCCGTTTCCTTTATCCCCTCTGGGCAAGATTTTGTACAGTTAACGGTCAAGAAACCACCACCCTAGAAGTGTAATACTTTGTATTAGTTTTAAAAACGTAACTCTCAAACAAACCTCTAGGGAAGTTCCATACTTGTAACTCAACGTTAAAATATAAAAAAGAAACTCTTGCAACAGACAACGATATTTAGGGTTGATTCAATTTAAAGTTGAATATCAATATCTAAGCAATATACTTGTAGTTCTCTTCGTTTTTTGGTAATGTCGCTTGACCGCGGTTGTTATGGTCTTTACAGGGATACTTAACAGGGGTTGGCCAAGGTTTGCCGTGGTCCACTTGTTTATGTTTGTTCATCATTTTGATTATTTTGTTATACAACCTTTACAGAACATTTACCCACATCCTAAAACCGTTCTATAATGACGCGTTCATAGAAGAACCAGATGCAGTCTAACTATACTTCGTCTCACCTTAGCATGGACTTACTTCGAAAGCTGTGCAACCGTGACCAGGTAGCCTCGGCTGCCTTGACTGAAGGCATAGCCTCTTCTATACTAATAAAGCCTGGCAGTTCGACGACGGATCCATAGAGTGCCCGCTCGCAAATCTGGAGCGCGAGGATCTGGTAGCACAGAGCATTTCCCAGGGAACATGGTCGTCAGCGCACAGCTTTTGCAGCGGCGAGGACCCATGGCTTTCAAACCCGACAAGTTGAGTTGAGTTGAGTTGAGTGTTGTTACACACGGGAAGAGGGGATGCCTGCACGTAATGTTAGCCTCCTTGGGCAGGGGCAAGACTCGCACAGGCGGGGAAAGAGGGTGAGAAAAGAAGAGAAGAGGGGTTGGGGGGTGATTTGGTCACCAATCTCTGGATGGGTAGGGTCGAATCAGGAGGCTATTTTCTTGAGGGAGGGGGGACACTGCAGAACTGTCTTCTGGTATGGAGATCACAGATTAGTCGATGGCAGTTGAGACGAGAAGGCGTGACTGGTCTAGGTGGCGGGCCGGTGGGCTAGAGGCGCGTTGCAAGTCCAGTGGCTTTGAGGTACTCAAGAAGAGATTTATAAACAAGTTCTCTTCTTCGTCGACCTCCGGTAGGAAAAAGGATATCGTTCTTTTGAGTCACAGTTGTGCTGGCACTTAGGATGGTGGTAAAAAAGGACCGTCGAGCTTGATCGTAGTGAGAACAATTTAGGAGGACGTCGTCAAGGTCCTCTGGGACATTGCACTTGGCACAGTTGGGTGTACTAGACCTGGAGATCTTGTGAAGTGTCGTTGATGTGTAGGCGCACTTTGCACGAAGGCGATGGAGCAGCGTGGAATCTGGTCTGGTTAGTTTTGACTCGGGGAGCGATGGAGGAGGATTCCCGCTTGCAACTTCTGTATGGGGGTGACGCATTGTGGTAATTAATTTGCACAGTCTGCGCGCTTTGCAATAACGTGGGATGAAAAGACTGGGTTCTTCTTCCTTGTGTGCCTTTGAAGCAAGGGCATCGGCGCGTTCGTTTGCCGGGGATACCCATATGTGACGGAATCCATTGAAAGGCCAACTGCCACCCTCGCATGCAAAGTTTTCGGGCCTTGTCGGCCACACATTGGGCCAGAAAAGGAGCTTGGTCTGAAGCTTCCAAATTGGATAACGCACTTCGAGAGTCGGAGAGAATAACAGCCTTGCAAGGATTGAGGTTGTGAAGCGCATCTAATGCCGCTGCTAGTGCAGCCAGCTCCGCTGTCGTTGGCGTGGTTGCGAAGTTGAGGCGGTGTGATGCTTCGATTCCGGCATCAAGAATGACGAATGCCGCTGTAGATGTTGCAGTTGTGGGATTCGTTGACCCGTCAGTAAAAACTTGGAGCCAACCATTGTACGTGCTTGTCAGTTGGTCAGCTGCAAGCGACCTTCCGACAGTGGCCGAGATAGAATTCTTCTTCGGGAAGTAAGGAAGCGTTTCTTCTACAATGTACGGCGGTTGGGTTATGAAAGGTGCCGGAGGAAAGTGATGGCAATTAGGAGGTCCAATTTGTAAGTTAAATTCTTGTACACGTCGAGCTATCTGCGAATCAAAACGCTCTTCAATGTTGGACAGCAGTGATGTCGCAGATCGTGCTCCATACATACGAGTGATATGATTCATTGCTCTTATTCTTATGTGCATAGCTACTGTTTGATCCTTGGCCTCTACGAGTGTCGCCGTATTGCCCGCGAAGCGTGGCAGTCCAAGGCACTGACGGAGGGCAATACGGTGAAAACGTTCGAGTGTGGACATTTGATGAGCCCTGATTGTGATGAGAGGTAGGCTGTATAACATTCTTGAGAGGATAAGGCCACGATAGAGAATCAGAAGTCCCTGAGGAGGCAGTCCAGATTTCTGGCGATGGAAGTGATGGAGCACAGTTAATAATTTAGTGCACTGCGTTACAATTCGTTTTATCTCGGGTCTCCATGTAACGTGGTCATCTATTTCCATCCCCAAGTATCGGTACGTTGAGACTCTTTGGATCGGTATTCCTTTGATGGTTGGTGTATTTGCAACTTTGCGGTTTGGATGTCGACCAGGGCGGTAACAAAGGAAGGCTGTTTTGCTTGTAGATAGAGTAAGTCCTAGTTCTTCTAGAGTAGAAGTCGTGAAGAACTTTCTGAAGCCTTTTGCCGATGGTCCTTGACAGTCTGGATGGACCGACACACCAAATTGCCACATCATCGGCGTATATCGTCATGTGAACTGTTGTACTGGACGTTTCTGCGGAGTTTATGCATAGCGGAAGTTCTGCCATGGTAAGGTTAAACAGAAACGGGCTCAGTACACTTCCTTGGGGAACGCCTTGGGTCACCGACCGACGAGTGCTTAGACATTCGGCAGCTCTTACTGTTAGGCTGCGGCCAGTGAGGAACGCGGCGATATAGTCATATGTTCTTCCACCAATTCCGTACCGTGTAAGTTGACGCAGAATAGTATGGTGTGGCAAGGCATCGAAAGCTTTGCATATGTCCAAAAATATGCAGTAGACTGTTTGGTGAGTTGAACGTGCATTTTCAAGGCTCGAAACGAGATCAGCAATGGCGTCAAAGGTGCACCTCCTTCGTCGGAATCCGCAGAGTTGATCTGGCAGTGCTCCTTTGGATTCAAGCAGCCACGTAAGTCTTGAAAGTACTAGTCTTTCCAATAATTTCCCGACACAACTGGTGAGAGAAATTGGCCGGTAGGATTCCATCCGATCACCGGGTTTTCCTTGCTTTCTGATAGGAACCACTACAGAGGTGAGCCATGCTGCAGGGATTTTTGCCGTTCTCCATATGTTGTTGATAGACTCCAGTAAGGCTTCTCTATGCGGGAAAGAAAGATTTCTCAGTGCTTGAAACGTTACGCCGTCCGGTCCCGGAGCGGTTCGACGGCGCGAGCGTCGGAGGGCAACATCAAGTTCAGTGATGGTGAAGTCAGCGTCCATTTCTGAGCAAGGATTTGTTTTCGATGGAACTGGAGGCTTGTCCCTGTATCCCTGTGGTGGCGGAATCGGGGCAGCGAACGCATCAGCAAGAAGCTCCGCGGTTTCTTGAGTAGTACGGCCTAGGGCTAGCGCTAATCCTGCAACGGGATGCTCGGGTTGCTTTTTATCCTTCAAGACTCTGACGATCCTCCATGCTCTCGAAATACCCGATGGGGAACCAAACGACTCACATAGTTGGTTCCACTGTAGGCGTTGGAGGCGCTTAGTATATCGGCGAAATTTAGCATCGATCTTGCGATGTTCATTCCAATCATCCAGATCATCTGTTTTTCGGGCTCGTCGCTGTGCGCGGCGTCGAGCAGCCCTTAGGTTTAGGTACATGAGGTCGGGAACAGGCCGGGTGCATGGTACTCTAATGGTCTTTGTTGACAGCTGAATGGCTCGTGCAATCATGGCTGTTGTGTCTTCTGTCGTGCTGCCAGCTAGAGCAAAGTCCATGTGAGATCGGAATACATCCCAGTTGGTAACTCGAACCTCTCTGTAAGTTTTGTTTGTTTTTTTGGCAGACTTGCTGGTAATCATGATCGGTATATGATCACTGCCCCAGGAATCGGCTAGCGCATTCCAATCTGCCAATATATCCGGGGACAGGAACGTCAGGTCTAATACACTGCGGCCAACTCCAGGTCTGATGAACGTTTCCGCACCGTCATTAAGGGCCTCTAAATGAAGTGAAGATGTCATACTATCAAGACCAAATCCTCTTGTATTTTTGCGGTCACCCCATATCTTGTTGTGGGCGTTGAAATCTCCACAAAGTATAAGATGACCTCTGCTTCTCTGCTTTACATCGGAAAGCTCTCCGACATCCCATTTGCAATTTGGAGGGACATACACTCAAACGACTGTGAAGTCCACGTCTTTGTATCTAACAGATACAGCAGCATATTCAGCACTACTCTTCGAAACTGAAGATAGGTCTACTGGCGATTGAGGAAGGCCGGCGCGAACAAAGACTACAGATCGTGGCTTGAAGTCCTTCCTTTTCGTAGAACTGTAATAGGCTACGTAGGGCGACAGGCGGCAGTTGGATGGATCGTTGTTAGGTTCCTGTATCGCCAGAAACCCGACAAGAAAAGAAGCTGTAGCGCCAAAAACGCGAGGAGCACGACCGGACATTCTATCGCTCGGGAGAAGGGTGTTTCGGCGTCTGGTCACAGCGGGGCGCCCATCCCGTTGCTCTCCTTTCATCCGTTGTCTGCCGGTCTACATTTTCAATTTCGGCGGCCGCGTCTCGTGGCGATCAGCCAGGCTTTGTCAATATAGATGAGGTTATGCTGGAGCACTCGCTGCACGAGTGCTCGTGCAGCCGCCGAGGCTTCATCCAAGGCAAATAGCTCGCGCTATTAGCACGCGCGGCTAGCAATACTCTAAAACCCATAATGCTCGCAAACGCTTTAATTTCGTGAATATCACGAATGGAGAAATTCACAAAATTTAAGGGCACGCGAAAATTTCCCGGCTTTTGGAATTCGCGAAATTTAATGGCCGCGCTTATGTCCTCTGCGACCAATTCGCAAAAAATAGGGGCCGCAAAAATAAAGGGTTTTACAGTAGT